GGGGGGGGGGGGGGGGCCTAGTCCCATTGGCCCCCTAAATAAGCCTCCGTTTTCTACTAACCGGTGTACTCATTGTGCGTCCACTCCAATCGAATTCTCCATCCTCAACGAAAGATTTTCGTTCAAACAAATCTAAAAATTACATATCTTAATATTAATCATAATCAAATAAAAAATTCTGGCGAGGAAATTCTGTAACTGTGGGAAACAGCTTTTGAAAACAAGTATTACTGATAGATCAAAATTGAAAACCTTGATATCTGATAAGACGTGAAACATTCTACCAGATCTATAATTAGGTACTTTTATTTACAGTGCTAAGTTGGATCCGCAAGATTTTGGCTTCCTGGATCCAGATCTAGATCCGCAAACATATGCGGATCCGACCAAGGGGCAAAATATCAACCTCAAACTGCAAAAAAAAATTTTTTTACACGCAAAACCAAAATTTAAACTATTGAAAAAAAGATAAATTATTCTCTAGCTTTCAATAGAAGATATGCATAAAGCCAAAGTAACATATTTTTATTTTGGAGCTAATTTTTGGTCATTAGAGGTCGTTCGAGGTTATTAGAAGGTTAAACATTGTAATCGTTGCTGCTACTGTATTCCCTGGGTTCCTAGTTTTCGTTTGATATGCGTAAAGCCATAGTTTAAAAATTTTCATTTTTGGAGGTCATTTAGGTCATTAGAAGGTCAAACATTGGATTCGTTGCTGCTACTGTATTCCTGGGGTTCCTAGCTTTTAATTTATATGGATAAATCCATAGTTAAACATTTTAACTTTTGGAGGTTTAGGTCATTAGAGGTCATTAGAAGGGCAAACATTGGATGTGTTGCTGCTACTGTATTCCCTGGGTTCCTAGCTTTCGTTTGATATGCATTAAGCCATAGTTGAAATATTTTCTATTTGTGGAGGTTATTAGAGGTCATTAAAATTCAATTTTATTTTATTTTAGGAATTTCGATCACTTATTTGGCGTGCAGCCAAAAATTGGAAGATTTGAACCAAAAATGAAGGCAGCCACGTTCACGTTCACGGTTATTTGGAGACAAGGGATCCTGGTTCTAAATAAAAACACACAAAATAGATTATGAGATATAGTAGTAGGGGGTACAATTGTATTTCATATTTACAGCTCTGGTGACTAAAACACAGCAATTTCAAACAAGCAACAATGACAAATACAAGGATTGATATTTTCTCGAAAAATCATTTACCCCCCTCCCCCCGTTTAATATATTTTTCTAGGGTTTTATTAGCTAAATTTTGGAGAATCAAATAATTTAAGGGAAATCAACGAATTTAATGAATTTTAAAGGGACAGTAAAGGAAAAATGAAAGCGGGTATAGACTGAAAGCTAATCACTTTAGCTCTCGATCGCGACCCATGAAAGTTTTATCTGATGTTCCTATCTCGAGAAATTGATTTACAACTGTGTTCCATCCCCTTTGAAAATTCTGCTTTGTTTAAAAAGAAATAACCTGGATCGGATCCGCATAAAATTTAGTATTTCGGATGATAAATGATAACTAGCGTATCTTTTAACGAATGCAAAATTTACGCATCAAGACATTGATATAAATTAATAAAAACAAATTAATTAATCAGGCTTAATAAAAGTTACGGAAATTAAACCAAAACAAATATTTATATTTTACATTTTGGACAGTAAAGGAAAATGTATGCATTTGCCCCATTTGGAAATAAATTATTAAATTCAACTGTTGATGTTTGAGATTATACGATAAAAATCAATTCGGGTAAAGAGGCACTTCAGTTTTTTTATTAATTAGCATTGGACCCCAGCTTTGCCGGATAAGAGAAGCTGACCCACTTGACTAAATATTCAACCGATTATGAGGTTGATGCAAGACATCTTAATTTTTAGGCTCATTTTTATGTCAATCTCCCCCCCCCCCCTTCCTCCCAATATCCAATCTATAATCCTGACTGTTTTACAAACATTGGTATCCCGGTGTCGTGAATCCGTTCATCTCCCCTAGCGATGATGAAAAGCGATGATAAAAATATTAAAAATTGTAAAATTACATGGCTGAATGCGCTTTTGTTCTAGAATGTATTATGTAAGACTGGGGGAAAAACTGAATGATTCCCTTTCAAATGTCGTCTTCATTTCAAAATTTAAATGATATAATTATTTTTGAAACATAAATAATTTCTAATGTGAAACATAAATAAAAACGTATTAATTAAGTGCCAAAACATTACTCTTCATGTTTAAAATTTAAATTATGTTGAAATCGTTAAAACATGAGAGGAGATGAACTGATAAACAGGACAGCTGAAAATAGGAAACCCACCTAAGAAAAGTTTCCTCAGATAATCATAGTCCGGTGTCTCGAAGAAGTCGAGTCTCCGGACATATCTGAGGTAGGTGGAAAACTCCTCCGGGTAACCTTCACACAGCACCTAAATCAATCAATCAATCAATCAATCAATCAATCAATCACTGAATGAGGCAATGAGCCAATGAATTAATTTATCAGAATAAATCCATTAATCGGAATCAATCAATCAATCAAATCAATTCAAAGAAATCAAGTCATCTATTTTTAAAAAATCTATCAATTTATCAAATACCGATCAAATATATTCAGACAGTAGTTTATCAATTTGAAAAATCGAATTTTCTAAGAATATCAAGACTTTATGAAGTATTCAGTTCCTTAAAAACAAAGTGTGATTAACTAACAAGATTAACGTTAGAAAATGTAAATATTAATCTAGAAGATCTTGAATTAAAACTGATGTCATTGCATCTGTTCTCAAGAAATGTTTGATTACGAAGGTTTCTGAAATCCAGTGTAATTGAACATTCAACAGTTTCGTAAGAAGCCGGCATCATAAGCCTAACCCAAATAATATTTCAAGTAGTAATAAATACAAGTTTGACTGCCCGAATGCTCTCTCTAAGATAAATATTTACGAGTTGAAATCAAAATATGAAGGAAAGCATTTATAATCCATATTTTCAGACACCCATACCCATATCTTACACATTCCATCCACTCACCCCCTCACACCTTAAATATCATTTCGAACACCTTCAACTAGAAACTCTTATGGGGAATTTTATTCCTACGCTATGCATTGAGAGGGGAGGGATTTCCTACCTATTTTATATAAAATTTCTTTTTTAAACGAAATCAAAAATAATTTTTGGAATTTTTAGAATAAAGTTTTTTTCTCTGAACAATTTCAATAATAATCTATTTTGAAGAACCACCCCGTTAGCTTTTTAAATTAGATTGAC